CCATGAGCTGCTGGGGCTCACTTTACACCTGTCCTTCTTCAGCTTCCACCATTCATAATGCAATAACAATTTAGTTGCTCATAGGAATAGGTTTGAAAATTGGATATTAAGAAGAAATTCCTTACTGTGAGGGTGCTAAGGCACTGGCACAGGTTGCTCAGAGAAGCTGTGGCTGCTCCATCCCTGGAAGTGTTCAAGGCCAGGTTGGATGGGGCCTGAAGGATCCTGGTCTAGTGGAAGGTGTCCCTGCCCAGAGCAGGAGGTTGGAATGAGATGGTCTTTAAGTTCCCTTCCAACACAAACCATTCTGTGATTCTGTGGTTCTGTCTTAAGAGCAGTTAAAATCCAATAGAGATTTTCTTACCGGTTGTTCTTTTCAGGTGCTTTTCAGGATCCCTTCTTGAATGTCCTGACTGCCAGTATCAAAGGTGGGAGGCAACTCATGACCACCAAACAGTGACAGCCTTGGATTCCTCTGCTTCTGGCTGCTCAAAATAACCACTGGACTACTGTGGAGATGAATGGAGAACAGCAGTATGATGCAGGTAATAGTCCAGCCAAGCTGCCTGGCCAATTATGCTAAAAAACTTGGCAAGCAAGACAGAAGAAAGCCAAGCACAGTGAATGTTTCATAGTGCAGGTGTCTGATGCTGTGTATTGTATGCAGGGAGAAACTCAGATTTCAATGATTGTGGGTTAGATTCTGGCTGTGAGGCTGCCGTGGTTATGTTCACTATTGCTTTATTCCAAAGCAGCATCTGTCATTGTCTTAAAGCAGAACAAAATCTGACCTGCCTTAGTAACTGTATTTTTAAGAAGTTGTAATTTCCCTCTTTGTGGCATCACTATGAGAAGGGCTTATGAAAAGCTCAGTGGTTTTAACACTGCTGTTTTAAGGCATTTGTCTGTCAAAGTGGTTAATGTTATCTTGTTCTGTCCTTGTGTTCATCTTGTTCTTAATATTTTGACAAGATTATGCTGCTGGTTTAAAAAGTCAGATAACTGAAGTTGTTTGCTGCCATTGTAATCTGTCCTGTTTTTCTGAAGTGCCTTGGTGTGTCTGCTTTGATAGGCTTGTGATATCAACTCCTAACCTGCTGCAGGAGGGGTATATTATGATAAATTAGCTCAGGTTTTGGTTCACCTTGAAACACCAGGCTGGGAAGAGTGTCAGTCTGGGATGGCTGAGAATACTAACAGCATTCTGAACAGTTCTGGGATTGTACCTTCTTATAGGGGTAGGGACCATCCATTTTTTTCTGTCTTGCCTGACATGGTTTGTCCTTTTTCCTTGAGGAGGTCTCTACCTATGGTGGTGGTATGGTTTTTTTAATTTTAATTATGGTTACCAGCGTAATTTTAATTATAAATTTAATTATTGTTACCAGCGTAAGCAGTTGGATCAGGATTTTATCTGAGTGTTACTTTCCTTTGGTTCTTGTCCAACAAACTGCTCTTCTCATAGGACAATTCACTGTTAGTAGTTTTTTTGTACCTTTACTTTATGGAAATCTAATTGCTGTTACTGAAGAAATGCTAAATGTGATCTTAATCTATAGTGCTTGTAAGAGAATGCTATTGTCTGCTTTATGATTTTTGATTATTAATTGCAGCAAATCAGTCAAGTTGTTCTCAATGTTAAATCCTTAAAAAAGCAAGAAAAGGCATCATGGACAAGTATGTAGAATGTCTCCAAGCACATGCAGATACTGTTTACTTGGCTAGTGGAAACTGCTAACTGCTCTCATCGAGTGTAAGAGAGAGGAACAGTAAGGGGATGTTTACATGGTCAGCAGTGGTGTGTTCACAGGCTGGTAGCACATCCCTCAGTACAAAAGCCATTACTGCCATTTTCCCATCTTTCTCAAAAAATAACAGAGATCACACAGTCCTCTCTATGTGCTTTGGGAATTACTAGGAAAAGGGTTTGATACTGGCTTGAAATTACTCAACAGCTGTTTTCCTGAGCATCCTTTTGTGCCTGGTTTGAGTATGGGAGGCTGTGAAAAGCAAACAGTAACAAGAGCTTTAGTTGCTGCATTTGGAGATAGTTCCCAGTAAATGCTGCCCCATGTAAGCATAAGCATGTGCCTTCCAATATTGTTTTCTGAAGTGCTTTTGAGTTAGACTAATCCAAAGCACTACTGGAACATTCCTTTTGTGTTCTTTGACTGGTGTAATTTTTTCCCAGTTGTTAATTTGTAGCAGTCTGTGGAGATTCCCCACAGACTTTGGTTTTACATGTCTTTTTGGTTTTACATGTAGGCTCTCTGCCTCCCAAAAACCCAGACAGTGGCCAGGGCTGCTGGTTGTGATGCTCTCCTGTACTGCCAGGGGAAGAGACAACTTTCATTCTTGTCACAGTCTTTCTCAGCTGCTGAAATTCCAACCTGTCTATTTATCCATGGCCTTGCAGCTGGTATAGATGAAAAAGATTAACTGCTTTTAAAATCAGATTGAAATATATCTACATTTCAGGGTGAGAAACCTTTAGGTTAGCCTTAATTGAAGGTCTTGCAGACTTCAGCATGATGTACTTCAGTGTCCAATGTGGCAGTCTTCAACTAAATCACATTAAAGATGCATGAAAGTTATTTGCAGTGACAGTTTAACTCAAATCCAAAGATCAAAACAGCTTGGTGTAGACTGTTTCCATTTCAGGTATTTTCAAGGTGCAACGTCTTTAATATTTCACTAGATTCTAGTGTCCAAATGGTACAATTTCATATTCTTTCTCTTCCTGTGTGTATCAGAGAGTAGCAGGATGTAATTCATGTTAAAATCCAGAAAGGAAGAGTTAGTGTTCCCAATGATGCTAATAGGGATAGTGACAAATGGGAAGTGATGTGACTACCTAGGACACTTCTGATATTCTTACAGAGAAACTTCTCACCTCCAGAGTGATGAGCATTCTCCACAGAATCTCTGTGGGGCACTTCTCAGATTTTACTTGAGAAATTGATTTGAAAGCTTTACTGACAATGACTAGTTGTATGGCAAAGCCAGGGAGACGAAAATCACATCTGGTGTTGTTCCCTGATTTAGCCAAAGTTGTGCTTTGCTACTGAGCTAATGTGCTGCCCAGTCATCCTGTTTAATTCAGAAAAATGTCTCCACGAAGTAGAAAGCTGAATTAATTTAGGACTTGTAGCAATTAAGGATATGGGGAGAAAAAGAGAGCATAAATATATACACCCATGCAGCATTAGATTAATAAATTGTGCTTTAAAATAAAATGGATTAAATATGGTTTTGCTTGTTGTTAGACTGATTTGCAAGCTTTCTCACAGTAGTGAGAATTTGTGGTTTCATTGAGTAGTTTGAACTTGGGCTGATCAGAATGTTTAGTACAGACATATGGCCCCTCAGGAATGTGGCTTCAATGAACTGGTCCTCTGTGTATCCTGGGATGTGCTCACCTGTGAGGACTGAGCTGTGCAATAGGGCCTTGCAAAAAATACCAATCCACTCGGTCAAAGGCTTGGTTCAAGCAGGGCCTGCTCTGCTGCTACTGTCCTGCCAATAAAACTGAGAAGTGATGGGATTCTGACTCCGACAGCCTTACCAGAGTGATGGTCCTTCGCCCCACTCTTGGAGTGTTTCTGCATTCACATGTTGAAAGAGAGATTTGATTTCTGAGCTTTTTCTTGCTTTGTGTAGTCCTACCACATGCCACAATTAAAAATCTAATTTACTGCTCTCACTAGGAATCCTCATGCAGCATTTTTGCTCTGAGCTTTATTCAATGAGCTTTTCCACACTGCTCCAGTGAAGTGATGTGCTAAATAACCTGGAATGCTGTAGGTTGGTTAGAACTCTAGCTAAGCACAGCTCTGAGCTGTGTCAGCCTCTGAACGGGAGGAAGGCTCCTGAGCTCCCTGGCTCAGTGTGCTCCGTGGCTGAGTGCGAGGCTAATCACTGCTCATTTAGTTGTAAAACCTTAGTAAAGTGTAAACACAAGCTGAATTGAACTTTTGTGCATGAATGAAGGGCAAAAAGCTGTGTGGGGGTGCTCTTGTAAAAAATGGAATGAAAAATCCCACTGACTCAACGAAACTCGCTAAAATAAAGCAGGAAGAGCATTAAATTTGCAGTGGGCATTTGTGATAATTTTTCTTGGTTGATTTTTTTAATTTGGTTTGATTGGGGTTTTTTATTTGGTTTGGTGGGGGTTTTGTGTGAAAAAAAATGAGTTTGAAGAGAGCTTTTGGTTGTGCTGGTAAGCTTTGGGCACTGTGCAATACAGAGCAGTCTGACCCCTTCTCACCACAGCAAGTGTTTCCTGGAATGAAACAGCTCTTTTGGATATGGAAGCAGACAGGCTGCAGAGACCATGGATGAGTGGAGTGACAAAGGACCTGTGGTAACTGATCCAGTTGGGAATGGTTGTAACTGTAGTTAAAGGCAAAGGGTCGCTGGAGCAGCAGGCAAACTGGCTTTCCTAGGAGCTCCTTGTAGCAATTAAGTGGCAACATAAGTTACTAATTGACCCTTTCAGTGTGTGAAGTGACCTGTGCCTCATTTAAGGAGCTTAACTGCCCCTCAGCCAGTTATCTGATGATAACGGGTATTGAAGAGTTGCTGCTGCAAGCGGCTTGGAAAAGAGCTCTGCTGGAAAGCCTCAAGGCCCGTGTGGTATTCCCAGATTGAGCCGCTTGGCTTTCAAACTTATTAACAAGCACAGAGCACTCGTGTTGCTTTGTTTCCTTTCAAACAGGAGTGTGTTAGACAGTGCAGGCACTGCTTTTTGGGGCTGGATGAGTGTGGGGCTGTTGCTGCTGTTGAGCAGCTGGCTGAGTTTTGGTGGGAAGGGCTGAGTTGGCTTCCTCTGGGCCCGAGAAAAAACAGACAGAATTCACGTTTGCTTTTGACTGACCATAGATGTTATGACCGAGCTGAGTTTGTTACCACTTTGGTTCTGAAGCTGTGAACTTAAGCATTTTTATGGCCAGATGAAAATAAAATGCTGTTTAAATGTATTAAGAAATCTTAATCTGTTTTAACAACATTTTGCAATGAAATTATATTTTTCATGGAATGACTTAGAGCCAAAGCTTTGATCAGCTCCACCCTAATTTGCAAACAAACAAACAAAAAAAAATCTCTGCCTTAACCTCTTTACTCCCTCAAAAATTTTCACAATAAAACTTAGCTATTTCTCCAGGTCATTTCTTCAGTAAGTTAAAAATTATCCCTTAAAAGCAATGGTGATATTCAAGCTTTGAATCTTTTGAGCTCTGAGGCTTATGCAATGCCTATATAACCAACTGTGGTTGGCTAAAACCAGCAGAAGTTGGGTTTGGGAGAGATAAGACCCTCTTTTAAAATAGATACTGTCATCAGCAAACAGCAGCTAACTGGTTTTGGGAAATGATAACTGCTAGAGTTACAATGAAAAAGATGAGCTTAACCATCAGCCTGAAGAAGAAATGAACCTCCTTACACTCAAGACTTCTAGGTGTTTTTGTCTATGTAATATATCTCAGACTTGGGCAAATATTTGCTCCTTTCTATTCGAGGACTAGGCACTGTCCTGGAGCATACTTAGCAGTTGTCAGTATGTCCAGAGGTCTGATAAGGGCATGTAGTGGTACTTCATTCATTTTTTTTATGTGTAAGGTTTCCTGCTCAAGCTACTACTCCTTGAAAGAGCAGTTACTGCCTGTCCTAACAAAGGCTCAGGGTGTAGGAAATGTTAGTGTCCTGTAACCTTGGTTAGTATCCTCAGCTCTCCTTGGGCTTGAGATACACAGAGATTTCTCTGTTTTCTAACATAAACAAGGTGTCAGGTTTCCTGGTACTGAGAGGGGGAAGCTCCCTTGTTCATTCATGAAGACAACTATGGTGCAGCTGGAGGAATCAGTCTAAAAGTGAAAACGAAAGCTCTGCTTTTGTGTCATGTCACTGCCATCCCGTTTTGCTGCTGCACCTGAAGCTGGGTTAAAAATGCTGCTTACATGAGGTGGGACCCTCCCTGGTCATCCACTGTGTGCCTGCAGTGAAAATGTGATGTGGCTGCAGGCTGAACTACATGGGGGACCTGAAATTCAACCTATGCTGGTTTGAGGTCTTTTCAGCAGAGTGGGTTAGGCAACGGAGAAAACAGAGATGGAAAGGAGTGAGGAAGTGAGCCAGGAACTAAAGGGGAGACTGGGGCTGGGGGACAGGCTTGACAATAATAATTACAAATCTGACTAATTGGAAGTGTGAGTCACTACAGGTACTTGCATCCCTGACAACCCGAGTGAGTTTTGAACTGTGGTTTGAGTGGGTTTAGCACATACATGGTTCAAATGCATCCCAAAATCAGAATTTCTTGGTCTGAAGAAGCTGTTACACCTTATGAGCTGGGCTTTTAAAGTGACTAATTTCAGTAGTCTTGATTTCAGTTGTGTCTCAAGCTGTTTTCTTTAGAACTACTCTGAGTCCTCTCTGCTTCTGGTGTTTTAGAACAACTAAATGCATACTGTCTAAGTTAAAAAAAGAGAAGAGTCATATTTCACATTTTTTAGTCTTTCTTTTCAAATCTTACTTATTGGTGTTGCTGTTTCCTGGATGGTTTAAATTTAATACACTAACAGTCTGGTGTTCACGAAGTTTTGAGTCTCTTGTGTTTGTTGATGCAAATACAAAGCTCTTCTGCCTGTGTTCTCCTCTCACAAATTATAAGCAATTTGTGCTTAACCAAAATCCTCAGGATTTTGCTTTTTCAGACCAGGTCCAACTTAAAAGTGCCTTTGCATACAAACAAAAGGCAAATAGTTTTGTCTGTGTGTTGAAACACGTAACTGAAGTTTACTGCATACTTGTGTACTTTGTCATTTGGAATTGAAATGGGGTTTGCTGTAGTTGGTGGTAGCCTAAAGCTCAAGCCACCAGATTGCTAAATTGGAAGTGTTTGGCTTCTCTTCCAGATGCTGGTTCCAGTGTGGAAGAAATGGAATTCAATTGGGATGAGTATCTAGAAGACACAGGAGCAACTGCAGCCCCGCATGGATCTTTTAAACATGTGAGTTAAGGCAGTGTTTGCTTACCATCTCCTACGTTGCTTTCTTGATACACTGAATGTTTAGAGTTTCTTTGAATGAATTGATGCTCTCAAATCTGGAAGGCTAACTAGAATCATGTTTCTTAGAGTAATGAGAAGTATGACGTTTATTGTTGTTTCTCATCTTACTCTCTGTAGCACAGGGTATCCCCATCCACAGGCGCTGAAAGTTAAGGGGCTCCTAGTCTTTTCTGCACCAGAAGATAAGCTTGATTTTTCTCAAGAAGCTCAAAGTAGACAGTGTCTTTCTTCTTTTGATGATTGCTACTGGACAGCTGCTATGGAGTAGTTGCTTTAGAAAGCTGGTGGCAGAATAGTTCTTGAATGACAGAATTCAAGTGTGCTCTCAAAGAAGGTTTTAATGGTGGATCTCAAGGAGGCAAGGAGAAAATAATAGCTCTGCCAAAAACTTGACTGTAGGAGTTAGAAAACTGATTAGGATAATTGTTGATCACAGGCTTAATGGATAGGATGAAGTCTTGATAAGCCCTTGTCTGTGCCCTTGGACATCTTTAATCAAATGTTTGTTGGTAGAACCCTGGGGTGCACTGTCCCAAGTGTGAGATCTGAATGTGAAATCTGCCTTCTTGAACTGGGTCATCAGTGAAGGTGAGCTGTTCAAGAGCTGTACAGAACTGTTGGATCTCTTCCAACAGTTAGAACACCTTCCAGACTGCTAGCCTGTATGCTTGTCCAGCTCTGTATTAAAGTTACTATTTAATAGTCTTTCAAAGACTGGCTGTGAGTCTTTTACCATGGCAGTGAGGGTACTGACCTGTGTATGACACATTGCTTGGAAAGAACTCCATAGTGCTCAGGATTTTGGGTCCAGTATCACGACTTTCAGTATCGGAAACTTTAATCAGCAG